GGTTGTTGTCCGTCGTAAACTATCTCCTTTTATCCCAATAATTGCTTAAAGCAATAGCGTTTTTGAGCCTGCAAAATAGTATGCAGTAATTTGCATAGACATTACCTTAACGTTAGCAAACAAACACATACATCGCGGTGTGGGACAAGTCCATCCGAAATTAGGCTTTTTTTAACACCTGCGTACACTTTAAATCCGAGCACTGAACTCAGAATGATAATTGATATGCTCTCTTCTAAAGCTGTGTTAGTAGTACTCATCGACTGATGGGCTTCTATAGTTTAGGGTCACTACCGTTTACTGCGTCTAGACAGTTAATCTCTTAATCCGACAGAGTAACGGCTCGTTTTAAATAAGAAATTCTTTTCAAGCTTCAACTTCTTGCTTGCAGATGACTTCGTGTTCCTCATCTGCCTCTCCTGCTAGTACATTTAAACTGCCGGAGGATATCTTAAGCGTATCGTTACGTATAATTCTGGTTTGTTGAATCAGTGTCCTTTGCTCCCTTGCTTTTGCCTTTTGTTTCAAAAATTAACCGAGAGACATTGATCTCCCACTTTAGGTTCTTCAAAATTAGTAGGAAAATCTTACCAAAGGTCATCAGTTCTGCCGAGACTTATGGCACCGTCAAGGACCCTGAATGCAGTTTGAAGGGTGTTACCCTGGGTGGTATCCTAGGTGACCAACAGGCTGCTCTTGTCGGACAGACCTGGGACCCTAACCCCGATCCCAGCTGCCCAAGACCTCACGTGAAAGTAACTTACGGTACTGGCGCCTTCTTGCTTTGGGATATTGGAACGACGCCAAGCTTCTCATCCCAGGGAATTCTCACCACAATTGCCTACAAGATGGGCAAAGATGCTACGCCCCACTACGCTCTCGAGGTGAGGCCTGTTCTACCTTTTCTTCCGGCATGCTCTGCTAACGAATAACTGTGTTTTTTTAAAAAAACAGCATTTTCAGTGCCTAGCACAACTGACGTGTTTTTGGTAAACAGTTATGAACTCTACTACGAATTTGTTGACAATGCGGGCTAAGAGCCTCTCACAGGAATGTTTTGGTCACATAGGTGGTGAAATCCTTATCTACTGACTGACTTACATCAGCTATATTACTTTGAACACACTTATGTTAGCTTTGTTGTTTTGTTGGTGGACGCGTACTAAGAGAAGGCGACTTCATATAAAAGTTCATGTACGCCCTCTTTTAAGGATTCATGATTTTAAAAAGCACAGATGCCGTCTGCTTTAGTTCTTGGGCCTAAGGTCTAGTGCCTCCGCAGGAAATAAAGACACTTAACATCCGTATGCTCATTTCTTCGGCTATAAGCTCCCCGACGCGTTCTCATGTGGTGAATAGTAGGAGGGTCACAGCTGGCTGTAAAATAAGCAGTCACGCATCATTTTAATCAGTTCTTTCAAGACTTGGAGGGCTTAGGTCCGACACAGAGCCTGACCATGGCACTGTGGAATGCCTGAGAATTGATAGTACGTAAAGTGCTCTTCTATCGTTTTTCGGCTGCTAGACCCTAAAAAGCCTGGGTGTTAAAGTACACCCCCAGGACAGATCAAGCTATTGAGTCCTGCCAGGTCAGGATTCCCTTATTGATCAGTGACGTACTGCACGGTGACAATGGGCAGGAATGAACCAATCTCTTTTTCTCATAAATACACGCATTTGGCCGATCTGACTGCTCTGTGGCACTTTATGCCCATTACATGCTACATTTCAACCCCATTGTAGAGATCATCAACTTGATCTGTTCTAATTAAGTAGCTCAGTTCCCTATGTGTAGAACTGAGAACTCCTGTTACGTGGGGGAGCCCTGTTGGTGCAGACCTCCTCAACAGCACTCGGTTCCATGCAAGAGTTCGGTTTCCGGCTTTTCGATTTCCTGTTGAACTGTTGCCTTCTACCAAATGATGTTAAAACAAACTAATTATTATGCATATCATGTTCACCCTCTGTCAGGGCGCCGTGGCGTATTCCGGTGCGACCATGGACTGGCTGCGCAAACA